ATTTTGACCAAAAAGCGACGGACTAAGAGACACTGTCCATCACTTTTTAAAAATAGTTGACTAGATATTTTGACCAAAAAGCGACGGACTAAGAGACACTGTCCATCACTTTTTAAAAATAGTTGACTAGATATTTTGACCAAAAAGCGACGGACTAAGAGACACTGTCCATCACTTTTTAAAAATAGTTGACTAGATATTTTGACCAAAAAGCGACGGACTAAGAGACACTGTCCATCACTTTTTAAAAATAGTTGACTAGATATTTTGACCAAAAAGCGACGGACTAAGAGACACTGTCCATCACTTTTTAAAAATAGTTGACTAGATATTTTGACCAAAAAGCGACGGACTAAGAGACACTGTCCATCACTTTTTAAAAATAGTTGACTAGATATTTTGACCAAAAAGCGACGGACTAAGAGACACTGTCCATCACTTTTTAAAAATAGTTGACTAGATATTTTGACCAAAAAGCGACGGACTAAGAGATGCCGTCCCTCGCTTTTTAAAAAACTAATTAATAAAATAAAATAAATTAAAAACGACGAACAACGTGGTTATTTTTTAATTTATATATAATTATTTTTAATAAAAAGTGACGGACGGCGTCTCTATATATATTAAATAAATAATTATTAATTATATATATATTTAGCGCAAAAATCCGCGAAAAAAAGCTACGGACTAAGAGATGCCGTCCGTCGCTTTTTGTAAAATAATTTTAAAAATAATTATTTTTATTAAAAAGCGACGGACAGTGTGGCAAAAGGTGTCACTTTTTGGAGCGACACCGTCCGTCGCTTTTCTGTCCGTCGTTTTTAAGCAGTGTTTTAGTAGTGTGAGGTATAAAATAAGATAATCAAAAGCACCAAGGCTAGATATAAAATATTTTTGGAAAAGGAAACAGAACTATATAGGAAATAAAGGCAGAGGAGCCATTTTAATAGTCAAGGGTAAGACTTCGTACACTTGTGATATTACATTGCTTGTTGTTGTTGATGCCGTGAAGACTTGGGCAACTACCAATTGCTCTGTCAAGTCAACACATAAAGTGGTACGATATAATTGAATAATATAGAGTCGTCCCTATTAAGGAATGTTTTACTGCAATGTGACACTTCCCAGTACGAATGGAAATTTCCTCAAGAATAGAAAACTACTTGTAACGTAATAAATTGACAATAATAATGATCATCAACAAATTATTTTTTATATGGTTCCTCACTTTTGTGTTTTAATTTTTTACCGATTTAGATATATATGCCTTACTTGAGCTGAATGTTTTGAAACTGTCTCTCTCCCTTTAATACAAGATAGGAATAACATTGCGTACGCATCACCCTACTTTCTATTCCTCAGGCAACACACGGAGTAACAGAAATAATAGAATAGAGTTGGCCCATACCTTTTAATTCTCATTATTATTATTATTATTATTATTATTATTATTATTAACAATTAACACTTCATCCAAAAGAAATGTATTATTACAGGTTAGTTGGTCCAAAGATGATAAATGCATGTGGGGTTATGATGGTAACTTAGGTCAAGCAACATGCATTTTTTCCAAACTTGTCTTTCACTGCATGACCCCTTAGGTTGACTTGGGTTTGTACCATATATATAATGCAACCTTTTTTTATTTATATAATTTTAAAAAAAATAAAAATTAAGTTAACTGACTTTTCTCAATGTGATGACATTTCAATAACGTGAAATACCCCCACAAATAAGTTTGTGGAAATCAAAACCATTTAATGTTTTGCATGATTGATGTGATACGTTTGCACTTTGCAGTGAACACTTGAGAAAAGTGATATCGTAAAGACTTGGGCAAATACCAATTGTTCGGTCAACTCAACAACATAAGTATTGCTATATAGTAATACATTTGAAAAGCAAATCAAGCTTAGAATCAATAGTAACAGCATGAAGAAGAACATTATCTTATTGATTCTTCTCTTTCTAATTCAATTTTCTTTATCACTTTCTTCCTCAAATAAGACTGACCAACAAGCTCTACTAGCTTTCCAAAATCTTATTACAAGTCCTAATCATTTTTTGGCCAATAATTGGACCAAAAATACTTCTTTTTGCTCTTGGTTTGGTGTCACTTGCACTCCAAAAAGGCAAAGGGTTGTGGCTTTGGCTCTTCCTAATTTGCAACTTCAAGGCACAATTCCCGATCTTGGCCAATTTGTCCTTCCTCAGTGTTCTCAATCTCCAGAATAACAGCTTCCGCGGTGGCATCCCTTATGGACTTGGCCACATGCCTCGCTTGCGAGTTATTGATGTTAAAAACAATCAGCTCAACGGAAGTATACCAACAAGTCTATTTCAAAACCGGAGAGTTCAAGTAATTTCATTGGCTTTCAATGAACTCAGTGGTGAAATGTGGAGAGGGCCATGGTATGTACCCGAACTCAGAGTCTTAAATCTCAGGAATAATAGCCTCACCGGTATAATCCCTCCTTCTATTGGAAATGCCACAACATTGATGAACTTCAGTTTGTCTGGGAATAGAGTCAGCGGCAACATTCCAAAGGAGGTCGGTAATCTGAGCCAGCTTGCATTTTTTCTCTTGTCCGATAATCAACTAACAGGTTCCATTCCCGCAACACTGTTTAATATCTCGTCACTACTTGCCGTATCTGTGTTACACAATAGCCTTTCTGGTCCTCTGTTGCTAGATGAAGGCAATATTGTGTCAAATCTGTACTTTTTTAAGTATATCTCACAACCAAATTTCTGGTTGCATTCCTTCCAACATATGCCAACTCACAGAGCTCAAAGTTTTGTCCATATCTTACAACAATATAACTGGAGACATACCCCAGAAATATTGGTTGTTTATTCCAAACTCGAGGAGTTTTATATTGGTGATAACCTAATAAAAGGGACTATTCCCACTTCATTGGGAAATATTTCCACTCTGCATAATCTTCACTGTCGAAACAATCAGATAGTAGGGGGGATTCCTCCGGAATTAGGGAAGCTATCAAATTTGAGGGAATTAAGCTTTGACAATAATTCTAATCTTATTGGTCAAATTCCAGAGGCTATTTTCAACATATCTTCTTTGGAAGTGATTGGTTTCAGTTTCAATAACCTCTCCGGGAGAATTCCAACCACTACAGGTCTTCATCTTCCCAATCTTGAAGGACTTTACTTGGGAGCAAATCAGTTCAAAGGGGAAATTCCATTGTTTATAACAAATGCTTCCAAGCTTCAGATACTGGAGCTAAATAATAACTTTCTGACAGGAACTATTCCTAATAATTTGGGAAATCTGCGTGAGCTGCGAGGACTGCTCCTATATAATAATCAACTTACCAATGAATTAAGAGAGCGTGAGTTGTTATTCTTCAATTCTTTGGCGGACTGTAGGATGTTGCAATATCTACAAGTGGGTTCCAATCCGTTAAATGGCGTTCTTCCCAATTCTATTGGAAATCTTTCATCTACTATTGAAAACTTTTATATAGTAGATGCACACATCAATGGCCTCATCCCCAAAAGTATAGGCAACATGACTGGTCTTACATCCCTAAGCCTTGACGGAAACAACTTGACAGGGAGTATTCCTTCTGAGATTGGTAAGCTTAAACAACTCCAAGGGCTGTATCTAGATAACAATAAATTGAAGGGACATATTCCAGAGGCCGTATGCCATTTATCTAATTTGGTTCAATTATTTCTGAATGTTAATGAGCTCTCTGGATTAATTCCAGAATGCATAGGAAATCTTAGCATGCTACAATATCTTTATTTGGGTTCTAATAAATTTTCATCAAAATTTACGTTGAACCTTTGGAAGATGAGTGGTCTTCTCTATCTAGACGTATCACAGAATTCAATGGAGGGAGAAGTTCCATCAGATATTGGAGCACTGAAAGCCATTGTAGAACTACATCTTTCCAGTAACCACTTTTCAGGAATGATTCCAAGCACATTCGGGGAACTCCAAAACCTACAGTATCTTGACCTGTCGAACAATTCATTTTTTGGCAAAATTCCATTATCCTTTGCCAACTTGATAAGCTTAGAATACTTGGATTTGTCTTCAAATGACTTGTCAGGTACTATTCCTATGTCTTTGGAAAAACTCTCCTACCTTAAAAGCATTAATGTTTCATTTAATGATTTAGAAGGTGAAATACCGAGTGGTGGCGTGTTTGCAAATTCCACTTTGCAATCATTTCTCGGGAACAAAGGTCTTTGTGGAATGCACATATTGGAGATTCCTGCTTGTGCTATCACTAATCCTGGAAAACAATCAAAGCTTAAGGAGGTTGTGCTAACAATTGTTACTCCAGTGGTTATTGCATCCTTTCTGATATTCTTGTTCGTTTCAATTTGGATAATGAAACGACAGAAGAAAGGGATGTCCAAAGATGTTGAAAAGGTATTGGAGATCGGGACTCATCAATTAGTTTCTTATCACGAGATTCAACGAGCAACAAATAATTTTTGATGAATCCAATTTAATTGGTGAGGGAAGCTCTGGCTCTGTGTACAAAGGAACATTGTTTGGTGGAACTGCAGTGGCCATTAAGGTTCTGGATTTGGAAAATGAGCAAGTATGCAAGAGGTTTGATACCGAATGTGAAGTGATGAGAAATGTTAGACACAGAAATCTTGTTTCAGTGATTACTACATGTTCTAGTGACTATATAAGAGCCTTTGTTCTGCAATTTATGCCCAATGGAAGTCTTGAGAATTGGCTGTACAAAGAAGATCGCCACTTGAACCTTCATCAAAGAGTCACTGTAATGCTTGATGCTGCTATGGCAGTCGAATATCTACACCATGGTCATAACACTCCTATAGTTCATTGCGACCTGAAGCCAGCCAACGTTCTTTTGGATGAAGATATGGTGGCTCATGTTGGTGATTTTGGAATCTCTAAAATTTTAGCTGTCAGCAAGTCTGTGGCACATACAGAGACATTGGGCACTCTTGGATACATTGCACCAGGTATAAAAAATCTACTCTCATTGATTTTCTTTTATCATAATTAAGCCTCACCAAGTTGTAGAAGTAAAAATAGAATTATTGTTGTGTTTCAACTGAGTAAATTTTCTTCATTCCTTTTCTAAGAATATGGCTCGGAGGGAATAGTGTCTGCTAGTGGTGATGTTTATAGCTACGGCATCATGTTGATGGAGGTTTTGACCAAAAGAAGGCCAACAGATGAAGAGATATGCAATGGAAATCTTGACTTGAGGAAATGGATTACACTATCATTTTCGGGGAGTATGATGGACGTTGTGGATGCCAATCTTTTTTCTGAGGAAGAACAAATCACTAGTAAAAGTGAAATCTGCATAGCCTCCATGATAGAATTGGGTTTAGACTGCACAAAGGAAACGCCGGAATCAAGAGTGACTATGAAAGAAGTAGTGAAGAGGCTTAACAAAATCAAGAACGCATTTCTGGAAACATAGAAGTCATGGTGTTCTTTGCTGAGCTGCAAATTAATATGATGCTGTTTGTTTCTTTAATAAAGTTGTTGTATAGTACTACTTGAAGTCTTTGAGTAGTTTTGGACCTATTTTACTCTATATATTTGTGATTATGTTTTGAATGCTTGAAAGAAACCAGAAATAAAGGTGTTTAGCTGCACTATTTTGTTTTTTGAATGTGATAAACAATTTGTGAATTGAGCACTTTTCATTTCCTTGTACTAATTAATTACTGTCTTCTTTGGACTTCACCTGCACAAGTATTCCAACAAGCCTATCTTGACAACAGGGAGTTCCAAAGAAAAATTGGTAATCTGAGGCAGCTTGCATTTTTGTCCTTGGTCGATAATGGTTTCATTCCCGCAACACTGTTGTCCCTCCAATGGAATATTGTGTGAAATCTGAAGTTCCTAAGTATATCTTACAATCTAATTTCTGGTCACATTCCTTCCAACAACATAACTGCAAAAATCAAGTAGTTTTCCTTTGGAAAGATTAGTGTGAGGCTTCTGCTATAATCCTGAGTTTAACTGCGACAAAAATATGTTTTAGATGTTATTTTCATACTATGATATTGACATATGACCATTTATAGGTTGAATGACACTTTGATCTCTAAAAAAAACCTTGCTATTTTTATAGGCAAATTTTTTCGTAAACAATGTCACATTTACATAAGAGAATCAATAAACATTTCTGTTATAACTTTAGTGTCCTGAGTATGAGTATAAGCTAACAGAGGTTTAAGGATCAATTCAACTTAAGCAAGAATTAAGGGTGTACTCGGTACAGGGGAAAAACATTTCTCAACTTTTCCGTATATGGTTGGTCAACTGTGTGGGAATAAGACACAGCCACATTGGCGCTTTTGTCAATCAACAACAACAGCGTCTCAATGTCAAACAAGTTTGGACATATTTTTATTGATAGTTTACTTAAAATATTGACTCCTATTTCTTGACGAATTAAAATAAAACCTCTTAACAAGAATTCTTGTATCTATTATGAGTTAGCCGACTTTTATTCCATTTTGTGAAACACAACCCAAGTAGTGTCAACTGTCAAGGAAAAAATGGATAAATTCCTTTCCTTATTTTCCTCCTCCTTTTAATCTGTTTTCACATTAATCTTTTTGCTACTTATTTTCCTCATCCATATTAATCTGTTTTCACATTTTGAAAATTTGAGTCTATTTATTTAAATTAATGAAGGTATTTAGCTGCACTGTTTTGCTTTTTTCTGCAAACTCGGAAATCTCTCTTTTCGCCTCTCTCCTTCATTTGTATTTGCCTCGGAAGTTTTACACAGTCAATGTGTAGAGCCTAAACTCTAATGTGATTAAAAACATGAATAGATTAAGCACCTTATCCATTTTTTTTAATCTCTTCCGGCCCGACTTAGTTTAAAAAAAGTATTCATATGACAATTTCCATTCATAGAAATAATTTTGTTATTTTGTTGCTTTGCCTTATTATTGACGAGTGCAATTCATGTATTAGAGTAAGTTAATAGAACCAATTTAAATTAGGATAAGATGTTTAGATGGTCAAAAGCAAAAGTTAAGGTTCACAATATGATACATTATGAAACGATACGTAACAACAATAGTGAAATTGACACGCCCCGAGCCTACAACCTGGACGTAGCCGGCACTCGAAGACCATTGTTGGCCCCCAAGCGAACCCTTGGCCTGGCTTTCTTAACTCAGCGGAAACTTAACTCAACAGCATAACTCAATGCAATGAAAGGTTATAAAATAACCAATTGATAAAAAACTACCAAAAGGCAACTCGAGTCTCAAAAATAGAATATTATATATATACATAGATGAGAGACTCAAAACTAACTGACTGACTGTCTATGAAGCCTCTATAATACTGAGATGGATGTTGGGACAGACCCCGCAACATCCTAATAAAACAAAACTAAGAGAACAAAATATCTGAGTCCTCCGGAAAGCAAGGAGGCTCACCACTAACTCTGGAGTGCTCAGCTGGATCAACGACGTGCTAGATGCTGATCCTGGGTACCTATGTCTGCATCATAATAAGATGCAGGCCAACTGGCATCAGTACATGGAATGTACGAGTATGCGAGCTGGAAAGCTAAACCACAACTTAAGCTTGAAAGGAGTACAAGAGAACACTTACCTTGGCTCTGTTCGACTCATGAATAACTGAACTCAATATATAAAGCAATAAGACACATGCAATATATAAATCTTGTAAAACAGTATAAACAACTTAGTTTGTTAATGATAAAACAATACAAAAACTCAACTTTACTTATATAAAAGTAATATAACTTTTGTTGGGAGGTTCTTTAACCGACAACCACCGCTATGAGCCCTAGTGATGATACAACGTTTTACCTCACGTTGCCCAAGGACCATCCTATACCTTGCCATGATATAGGACCTTACTTTACTTAGTGGATCCACTAGCTTAATCTTACATGATCATCTAAAAAGAATGACCCGTCAAGTCCCATGTTGGCGCATGGTTCTTATGGAGAGTTGAGTTAATATGAAACTCGTGTCCCCAATTCGGTGCTCAATACTACTCCCAAAAATACTTTGGCTCATAAGTGTCTTTAAACACATCTTTCTTTAGTTGAGATAATTACTCAAAACTTAGCCCAAAGGCTCTTTTTTTTTTGGAAAACATGGTTCCCCTCTTACTTAAATGTAAAAACATTTATAAACTTCTTTGGGAATACTTAGTTCCCTAATAGCTTTTGAGAAATGAACTCAACTTTAAACTCTTGACTTAACTTGAAACTCTATACTCTTTACTTGACTTGAAACTTGAACCTTAAAATGAATTTAAAACGTTTAATAACGACTCTTGAAAAGCTTTAAAGACTTGCTTGG